TCCCCCTGGGTAGAGTGCTGTGGCATCACAGCTCACAGCAACCTCCAACTCCTGGGCTCAAGCGAGTCTCCTGCCTCTGCCTCTCAAGTAGCTGGGACCACAGGCACCTGCCACAACGCCTATTTTTTTGGTTGCAGCTGTCGTTGTTTGGCGGGCTGGAGCTGGATTCAAACCCGCCACCTTAGGTGTATATGGCTGGCGTCTTAGCCACTTGAGCCACAGGTGCCAAGCCAGTTTTTCTGTTTTGTTTTTTTTTTTTAAGCAGAGATTGGAGTCTTGCTCTTGGTCAGGCTGGTCTCAGAACTCCTGAGCTCAAGAAATCCACCCACCTTGGCCTCCCAGAGTACTAGGATTACAGACATGAGCCACCATGCCTGGTCTCAATTTCTTTTAAGTTAACATTCACTTATCTTCTTACCTTTTCTTCGTAGCCATTATCTGTAATAGAAGTTGGAGGCTTTCCAGGATAGCGATAAAGAATGAAATCCCGACTACATGAGTAGAAAACAAAAGTGGGTGGAAAGAGATAACTTAGTATATGTAAGAGATAGTTTTTAACAAGCATTCACACTTTTTCCTTTCTTTTTTTTGCAGTTTTTGGCCAGGGCTGGGTTTGCCCCTACCTGCGGCATATGGGGCCGGCACCCTACCCTTTTGAGCCACAGGTGCTGCCCCTCCTTTCTTTTTTTTAATTGTTGGGGATTCATTGAGGGTACAAGAAACCAGGTTATACTGATTGCATTTGTTAGGTAAAGTCCCTCTTATAATTGTGTCTTGCCCCCAAGAGAAGTGTCACACTGTCGCACACCGAGACCCCATCCCCTCCCTCCTTCTTTCTGCTCTCCCCTGCCCCCACTGTGAACTAGGTTAATCGCTTTCAAGTATTCACACTTTTAAACTGTCTACCCCATTAATATAAACTAATAAACCTAATGTTTGGCTTTAAGATCTAAAGAGCCTGGATTGCTTAAAATGGTCTCAATTAGGCTCGGCGCCGGTTGCACAGTGGTTACAGCACCAGCCACATACACTGAAGGTGGCGGGTTTGAACCTAGGCTGGGCCAGCTAAAAACAACAGTGATAATTGTAACAAAAAATAGCCAGGCATTGTGGTGAGTACCTGTGGTTCCAGCTACTTGGGAGGCGGAGGCAACAGAATGGCTTAAGCCCAAGAGTTTGAGGTTGCTGTGAGCTGTGATGCTACAGCACTCTACCCAGAGTGACAAAGTGAGATTCTGTCTCAACAACAACAACAAAAAATGTGTCTCAATTAGGCTGGTGGGTTCAAACCTGGGCTGGGCCAGCTAAACAATGACAACTGCAACAAAAAGAAAGCTGGGCATTGTGATGGGTGACTGTAGTCCCAGCTACTTGGGATGCTGAGGCAAGAGAATCACTTAAGCCCAAGAGTTGGAGGTTGCTGTGAGCTGTGATACCACAGCACTCTACCGAGGGCAACACAATGAGACTCTGTCTCAAAACAAAATGTGTCTCATTTAGGGGTAGAATGGGTATAGACAAAATGTTACTAATTGTATGTATGTTTGTGAGCTTTAGGGGCTCTCCTCATTTAAGCAGGGGTTGGTGAGTCTTTTTTGGCAAAAAAACAAATAATAAGCATTTTGGCTTTTGCAAGTCATATGGTTTATTCAACTGTGCTTTTATAGCATGAAAGAAGCCATAAATGACGCTTAAGTGAATGGTCATGAATGTGTTTCAATAAAGCTGTATTTACAGGCACTGAAATTTACATTTTATATAATTTTCATGACATGAAACCTTCCTTTGACCTTTTAACCATTTAAAATATTTTAAAAGGGGCAGTGCCTGTGGCTCAGTGAGTAGGGTGCCGGCCCCATATACCAAGGGTGGCGGGTTCAAACCCAACCCCAGCCAAACTGCAACAAAAAATAGCTGGGCATTGTGGTGGGCGCCTGTAGTCCCAACTACTTGGGAGGCTGAGGCAAGAGAATCGCCTAAGCCCAAGAGCTGGAGGTTGCTGTGAGCTGCAACACCACAGCACTCTACCGAGGACAACAAAATGAGATTCTGTCTCTAAAATAAATTTTAAAAAATATTTTAAAGGGTGGCACCTGTGGCTCAGTGAGTAGGGCACCAGCCTCATATACCAAGGGTGGCGGGTTCAAACCCGGCCCTGACCAAACTACAACAAAAAAATACCCAGGTGTTGTGGCAGGCACCTACAGTCCAGGTTACTCGGGAGGCTGAGGCAAGAGAATCGCCTAAGCCCAAGAGCTAGAGGTTGCTGTGAGCTGTGACGCCACAGTGCTCTACCAAGGATGACAAAGTGAGACTGTCTCTAAAAATAAAAAAAGAAAAAAGAAATAAAGTATTTTTTTTTTTTTTTTTTGAGACAGAGCCTCAAGCTGTCCCCCTGGGTAGAGTGCCGTGGCATTACAGCTCACAGCAACCTCCAACTCCTGGGCTCAAGCGAGTCTCTTGCCTCCGCCTCCCAAGTAGCTGGGACCACAGGCGCCCGCCACAACGCCCGGATATTTTTTGGTTGCAGCCGTCATTGTTGTTTGGCAGGTCCGGGCTGGGGATTCGAACCCACCACCTTAGGTGTACGTGGCTGGCGCCTTGGCCGATTGAGCTATAGGCGCCGAGCCAGAAATAAAGTATTTTAAAAATTGTTCTTAGCCTGAAGATCATACAAAGACAGAAAATAGGCCAATATAAAAGCCAACTCCTGACTTAACAGTAACAAAAAAGTAACTAGCCACCTTCCCAATGCCTCTTCTACATGTCTTGCTGGATATAGTGAGAAATGGATTATGAGGGAGTCTTATACAGAGCAGATTCCTTAAATGAGCAAGATTTCCACTAGCCTATAACCTATATTATATGGCTATTTTTAAAAAAACACTACACCTTTCATAAATACTACTTTTGCAGTTATAAAGATCAACTTTTAAACTTCCAGACCAGTAGAACAGTGCTTCTCAAATATTCTACCCATAATTACCTCCCAATAAACCTCTTCATACTTTTCTTAATTTTGCTATGAAATTTTAATACAATAGATGCACTGTGAATCTGTTGATGTACTCTGACCATTTGAAGGACCAAAAACCACATCTTAGTTGTTTTGCCCCTCCCAAAACCAATTCCCACTACCTGGGGGCAATATTACTTCACAAAGAATGCATGCCAAAGAGGCAAAAGCTAAATACACAAGCATTATAAAATAAATATTCTGACTTCCTACAGGCATATATCAGCAGTTCCTCGAGTCTTTTAGTCATCCATACAGACACAAATGCTAAAAGTAAGGAGGGCATCTGTAAAAGGTTCTCCACCCAAAAACTACAAACTGACTTTGCTGAGACCTCTTCTTTCTACATATTACTACATCAAATCTCAATTTCCCCCAATCCTAATGAGACTTTACTAGAAACCTTACACACACAGGCACACACATATACTCAGAAAGAAAAGGGGATACAACTTACTTATAAATTTGAGAAAGAGCTCTTATTTCCAGCTGGCCAGCACTTTCCTAAACACAAATAATGTATAGAGATTTTTAAAACATTCTATAGCTAGAAGGTAGAAAGAAGTTCAACAATTTTCAAAGCTGCTTAGCATTGATTTAGATGAAGAATTTGTAGAACATGCTATAACTTGTTTTGATGCTTGGCATACTGCAATAGTTACTCAGAAACTTATCCTGGAAAAAATGGATCTAAAGCCCTTCTTAGTCATTAATAAGGACAGCTAATAAAAGAGACTTTTAAAGGACAATAAAAGTAGAACTATTATAAGAATAAAAAAGTAGCAGGATAAATAGTTGGAGGTTGCTGTGAGCTGTGATACCATAGTACTCTACCAAAGGTGACACAGTTAAACTGTGTCTCAAAAAAACAAAAAGTAGCAGGGTATTTAGTATGTCTTAAATCTAGAACTATGTAATTTTATCACATAAAATTACTTCTAAATACCCTAAGAATGTCTGAGCCTTCAATGTTAAATTTTTTCTTTTTCTTTTTTTTTTTTAGACGGAGCCTCAAGCTATCCCCCTGGGTAGAGTGCCATGGCATCACAGCTCACAGCAACCTCCAACTTCTGGGCTCAAGCAAGTCTCCTGCCTCAGCCTCCCAAGTAGCTGGGACTACAGGCTCCCGCCACAACACCCAGCCATTTTTTGGTTGCAGCCATCATTGTTGTTTGGCGGGCCCGGGCTGGGGATTCGAACCCGCCACCTTAGGTGTATGTGGCTGGCACCTTAGCCGCTTGAGCCACAGGCGCTGAGCCGAATTTTTTCTTTATTAAAATGAACTTTTATCTTATAAAAAAATTACTTCTAACTAAGGTATGTATTTACAGATTTTACTTCCACATAAAAGGAGGATAAATACAGAGAACTGTTTAATAAAACAAAATAGCAGTCTCTTTAGTAATATTCATTACCACCCTCCTCCCCCATGAAAGTGAAAAGGCTTACACTTATCCTAATTCCACTGTGTATAACTCTTTTGCTAGTCTATGGAGGATGAGATTTCTGACACACAAATTTCAACATTCAACACAAAATAACAGATCAATTGCCAGCCCCAAAACTTTTGAAAGAACTATTTGATTCAACACAGCTGGCTACCAAAGAAAGTATTTTAGGTCTGTCTAAAGTGATAGTTGAATGAATATTTAGGTTGCTATTGTAAATAACTCTTGAAAAGATTAAACCCCCATATTTGATCTTACCTTGGGATCTCCCAACCGTTCCAGGTATTTCTCAAAAGATCCCTCCACATACTTCAAAAATAAAACAAACTTGACTTAACCAAATACATAGCATTACTGAAATCTGGTTATATTCTGCAATATTATCCTCTGATGAGTTTTTTGTTCAGTTCACCAATTATGACATTAAGTTACTACTTTACACAACACCTCAAGGAGATTTGCCCATATATAAAAGTTATGAGTAGAGAAAAGCTAGAGTATAAAAGTATCTTAGATATTGGTCTTGGCTTATCCACAAATCAGTACATTTCATAAAATTATATACCTTCAAGATTCATTTAATGTCAACTTAAATATCTTGATAATTTCCGTAAATCAAGCCTAGAAATTTTTATAAATTTCCAATTTGACAGGAAACATGCCTTTGCAATGTTAAACTCAGGAACTTTAAAAACAATTTCATTAGTTTCAAAAAAGCCCAGGGTACAAGGGAACTTTCGGAGGTGATGAAAATGTTCTATATCTTAAGTGTGATGGCAGTTGCATAATTGTGTATCACTGCCAAAACTAAAAATGCTAAACTTAAAATGGTCAATTTTATCCTATGTAACATATACCTCAATAAAAAATGAAATTCAATTCAGAATATAACAAATTTATTTCTAACTCCATCCATATATATCACTAGACTATAAAAATCAGTTTTAAATTTTTCCTTAATTTTTAAAAGTTTTTTTTTTTAAAGAGACAGAGTCTTATTTTGTCGCCCTCAGTAGAGTGCCATGGCATCACAGCTCATAGCAACCTCTAGGATTCTGGAATCACCCAGCTTCTTGGGCTTAGGCGATTCTCTTGCCTCAGCCTCCCGAGCAGCTAGGACTACAGGTGCCCGCCACAATGCCCAGCTATTTTTTTGTTGCCATTTGTCCAGGGCTGGGCTCCAGCCGGCCACCGTGGGTATATAGGGTCGGCGCTCTATTCAGTGAGCCACAGGTGCTGCCCAATTTTTAAAAGTTTTGAAGTATAACTTACATACAATAAACTGCACAATTTAAATAACACAAATACATTTTGACTTATGTATGCATCCCATCAAATCATCACCACAGCTGAGATAGTGAATATCTCTATCACTCCCGTAAGTTTCCTTGTGCCCCTCCCGTAACTGATCAACAAGCACTGAATTGCTTCCTATCACTACAAATTGGTTTGTATTTTTACTGAATTTTATATAAAGGAAACCATAGAGTATAAATGGGGGGGTGGCTTCTATCATTCAGTATAACCTTTTTAAGATTCATTCATTTTGTTTTAAAATTGTACACACATCTTTATTACTCAAAATGTAGTCTACTGAACAACAGCAAGCACCACTTTGGAATTTTTTAAAAATGTAAAAATCTCTGGCCCCAGCTCAGACCTACTGAATCAGAACCTGTAGTTTAACAAACTTCCCAGGTGTTTTGTATGTACAAAAATACTTGCTATGCACTGCTTTACACCATGGTCTTGCATTTGAAGTAATGTCACTAATAATTGTTTCCCCAGGTGTGGAAAAACCTATCATCAGCTACAAGGTAACAAGCTTACAAGTCATGAAGCCTTTGCATAGTTTTACCATTCCCTGAAACCTGTAGAGAAAATCAAGAGTAAACCTAGAACAGCAGGAAAATATCCAGAATAAACAGAAGAAAATAGTATTGGAAGAAAAAAATAACCATACAAAAGGGCACACTTTCACCAAACCTTGATAAAACCTCTAGTTTTGTTAAAAAAAAATTCAAATACTTAAATGTGTACAAAGACATCCTCTAAAAGTTATTTACCTAAAGTCAATCATTAGTGGCAGAGCTCCAATTACCATTATTTGTCACATGAAAAGACTAGATGTTTAGACTAATTTGTTTCCTTACAATTAATTTTACAAGATTCCTCAAATTGACTGAAGATTACTATACACAGCATTAAGCAAGATTATGGATAGAGTTTGCATTTGCACCTATTTCTAAATATGCATTTTAAAATATTAACAGAATCAAACCTTTCATGAACTATTATTATATTTTCAAGAAAATACTATATGAATAATACAAAATAAATGTAACTATTTAGGGTTTCAAGGTTTGGGTGTGGTATCAAAGAAGTAGGAGGAAGGGGACAGATTAACTGTTTTTCTTAATTTTTAGTAAGAGTACAAAACAATAATTCTGGGAGAAGGTTCAGAAGTATGCTAGCCAGTGGGAAGGAATTAGGAATTAAATATTTGCTATTGAGAGATGACATGATATAATTTTCATATATAAATGCTCAAAATTCTTTTCCCACCTGCTACATATGCTACTGACAATTCTCCCCTGGGTATGTGTTCTACTTACAGACTCAAAAGTTTGTCGATGTTCCCTCATGTATGAGACACAAGCCTTCCTGATTTCCAAATGATGGACCTGGCTGCAAAACAACTAAGAAACACCAACTCACTGTCAGTAGCCATTTAAAACAGAAGCTTCTAAATCAAGATTATGAACTGGACACTTAATAAGCCTTCCTTATTCAGAAAATATGTAGGAAATTAAATCCTTACCTTACTAAATTTATCATCTTTTATGATAAATGGGGATTGGGAAGGAATGATTGTCATGACCCACTCCTTTTGCTCCTCAATTTACAACCTGTAAATTGTTCTTAGGCATAAAATTTACAGGAAGCAGAGGATACTTATAAATGATTAAATGACATCCCAAAGTTGTCTTTAACCCCATTTTCTTACCACTTTTACATTATAAACTGGCATTTAAAAAATAGAAAAGTTAAGATAAGGTACAGCAATATATTTATACTAATCTGCAAAGACCAAGGTAATGCACAATGCACCAAGGTAATAAGGAGCAGAGGGTCTCTTTCCAGGATCTGGATAGGCCTAGATGTTTTCATTAGGAAACAAAAAAGAGAATTTTGTTTCTTCCGGTCAACTACATATCTAACTACAGGTTCTTACCACGTCTCAAACTGAAAATTTTTTTTTTTTTTTTTGAGACGGAGCCTCAAGCTGTCCCCCTGGGTAGAGTGCCATGGCATTACAGCTCACAGCAACCTCCAACTCCTGGGCTCA